ACACACACACACACACACACACACACACACACACACACACACACACACACCGTCCAATCAGAGGAGCAAAGAGTCCTCGGCCCCGCCCCACTACACTTACACACCCCTCCCCCTCCCGTGTCTCCGGTAATCCTCCGGTCTCTCTCGGTGCGGTCGTCATGGCGGAAATTAAAACGGGAATCTTCGCTAAGAACGTGCAGAAGCGCCTGAACCGAGCCCAGGAGAAGGTGAGAGGGGGAGGAGAGGAGGAGCAGGTGATGGAGGTGATGCGGAGGGCGGATGGAGAAGCGGTGCTGGAGGCTGCAGGAGGCCCGGTCACCGCCGCTCTCTAATCCGATCGCTCACACATGAGGATCGATGTATTACTGATCATCCGCTATTGAGCCGCTCGGAGGTCACGTGATTAGCTACGGCTGAGGAGAAAAATCATCAGAAACGGAGAAATCATCAAAAACAAATAGAGCACGTTCTGATTGGCTGAAGCAGATCGTGATGTCACGTGTGCGGTAAAACGCGTCACGCACGTTTTCCTCTTGAAAATTAAAGACGTTAGTGACGTATTTCCCAGGTCCAAGGTCGACAATGTTGTCCACGACGTGATGACGTCATTGTGCTACCTTAGTTTTATTTATCAGGCGCTTTGATGTGATTTCTCTTTCAGGTTCTGCAGAAGTTGGGAAAAGCAGACGAGACCAAAGATGAGCAGTTTGAACAGGTGGTCATCAACTTCCGGAGGCAGGAGGTAAGACGATACCTGGGATAACTAAGTGAAGTGCTTTACAAATACAGGCCATTTACCAGGTCAACTTGGCTTAGTTTACTTACAGATTTTATACAGACCTGGAAGGTCGAAGACTTCAATGCTCTGCTCTGGATGTACAGCTCTCACTGACACTTGAAGACAAAGGCCGGATAATTACTGACAAATTGGTTAATAAGCTGAACTTGACTGTCTCCATATTTGACCTCATTATAAACCACTGCTGGTGGGAGCAGGTGTCACAGTCAGACAGTGTATATGTAAAAACACCAATGTTTGATCACTGTTTAATCAGCATTCACATTAATTTCAAAAATTCAAAGACTTTCAATTTTATACAGATGTAAATGTGTAAAATAAGAGTTGCTTTCAAAATAAAAGCATCAAAATTACATTGTGATTTTCTGGTAAGCCATTCTCTGATGGGGAGAAACTGCATGATATATGCTTTAACAAATTTCCATTTGACCTGAAAGGGGCCAGGCAGCCACGTGACCAGGTGTTTTTAATGCCCAGGCGTGCTGTAGATGAGATCTCAGCCATTCTAACAGATCTGCAGTGGCCTTATTTTCCAGAGATCTGATTCGTTAGTTGGCAGTTAACAGAATATGTGAGGCGAGTACAGCACCACTTACCATGGCAATGTAACCTGGTAAGACGTAAACACTCTGTGTAACCTTGAAAACACAGAGTTAAACTTTAAGTTACCTGGATTCCAAATCCTGTGTCGTAGAGAGCTCAGTTCATGGCTTTAGTGTGAAAAACCTCAGTTTATGTTTGATTTGATTGATATTGTGCATAATCACAACAACGGTTGCCTCAAGGCACTTTATATTGTAAGATAAAGACCCTATAATATAAAGAGAAAACTCAGACAAGAAACTGGTGACAGTGGGAACGAAAAACTCCCTTTGAACAGGAGGAAACCTCTGCAAAATGTGGAAACCAAATTCCTCCAGTGTAAAATAACTGATATCACATGTTTGTGTGTGCTTTGCCAGACTGAAGGTTCTCGGCTGCAGAGGGAGATGAAGGCCTACATGTCTGCCATTAAAGGTCTGTATGGTTCATTATCTACGTGATACAAACCTCAAATGAAAGAAACGTCTTCAGTGACACTTTGCATGATTCACAGTTTATAATGATCTTTCATTATCTAATGCTGCAACCTACTTGGAAAGTCAGAGCAGCCACAGAAGTAAACAGTCCAAGATGGCGGCAGTCAACTTTGAATCTGTACTGCCACTGTGGTGTATTTGTGACTCACTAAATAAGACATAGAGAGTACTGACCAGGCTCTATCCATGAATGTGCTGCAGGGGAGTTTTTAAGTACAAAAAATATTATTATGCTGTATTGTCAGTAATAACTGAAGGACTCTATCTTGCTAAGAACCAAAACAAATCCTGTTTTGTTTTCTCACATTGCAAACTTTCTTACTGAAACATATGAACTCAGGAGTGATGCCACTGCTGAATTACGAGGTACCTGGAATGTGGCATCAGTTCATCCTCTGTCTTAAAAAAGCTTTTTTAGTTTCTTCCCCTTCAAGACTACTTTGTTATGATTGGCTGCCCCTCACTAGGATTCTATTCAATATTCAATTCAACTCATCCATCCATCCATCCATCTTCATCCGCTTTATCCGAGGCCGGGTCGCAGGGGCAGCAACCTAAGCAAAGAGGCCCAGACCTCCCTCTCCCCAGCCACCTGCTCCAGCTTGTCCGGGGGAATACCAAGGCGTTCCCAGGCCAGCCGAGAGATATAATCTCTCCAGCGTGTCCTGGGTCTGCCCCGGGGCCTCCTCCCGGTGGGACATGCCTGGAACACCTCACCCAGGAGGCGCCCAGTTCAGTTTTATTTATACAGCACCAAATCACAACAACAGTCGCTTTAGGGTGCTTTATAACTAGGGCTAGGTATCGTCACTGATTTCTAGAATTGATTTGATTCCGATTCACAAGGTCCTGAATCGATTCGATCCACGATTCGATTCAATTCGATTTGAATCTGGGAAATTTTGCCTCAGACAGCCAGAAATATTATAATTCAGATCAGTACATTTACATATTTTTGTATCTATAAAAAGGAAGCTGACACTTGCGAGACTTTATCACAGGTGTGAGCATCACAGCAGAGGTCTTTGTGTCAAAGCAGCTGAAGATAAAACACAGAAAACATGGAGGTGATTTTTTCTGGCCTGAGATTTTATAAAAATATTCTGCAGTAGATCAAAAACGAAAGAAAATCATTAATCAACTTATGAACATCACCTCTGAAGTTACAGCGGTTTTATTAGAGACACAGCTGAGCGTTTTGCATTTTGCATAATTTTAAAAAGTTTAAATTTGTTCAGAAGCCTGTTGAACGGCAGAAATTAGGTTTTCTTTTTGGAAGTAAGTAAAAGGAAAAAAAAAACAGCGGCCGACAGCGCTGTAAACAACGTTAGACGGTGCGTAACAAGCAAGCGAATAATGCAGAAAACAGATTTCAGGGATAGGCGGGAAACTGTTCTTGAAGTACAGAGAGAGAGAGAGAGAGAGCTGTGCATGAAGTGTGATTTTATTGTGGTGGAAGCAAAACAGCAAAAGTCAGAGGGAGTCCATGACGATGTTTATGTGAAGCGTAGTTTGGATCGTCTTTTGCTGCTGGTTCAGTCAATATTGTCTGGAGAGAGATCAAATTAACAGCTTTAGAATCAGCGCAAAAAGGACGTAAACACAAAGCGCCGACCCGCCGACACATCAGAATCAGCGAGCTGTCGGCTTTCAGCCCCGACCGTGTCCGTGCCGTCAGGTAAGAAAGGCGACATCTCACTGATTCTGATCCGCAGGTCCGCGCTTTGTGTTTACGTCTTTGTGCAGAATCCGTGTTCCTGCTCTCATTTACTGTTTTAAATGTTTGGTGGTTGTTGAAATTTTGTGACGTTCTACCTGAGATTCTGGAATTTTGGGCAAAATACATTTATATAAAAAAATCGATTCAGGATTTTAATGAATCGATATCACATTATCCAAGCCAGCATCCATTTTAATCGATGAATCGATTATTAAAACCCACCCCTATTTATAACGCCTATGAGCAGCACTTTGGTGACAGTGGGAAGGAAAAACTCCCTTTTAACAGGAAGAA